TTTTTAACTCTTGTGCTATGGGTGTCCTATTAAGGAATTTGGAGCCCGACCCCACAATATGTAGATCGGAGCCAACTTTTTCTTCTATCAGACGCAGAGTCTCTGATTTGATATCAAGCTCCTTGATCCATTTTGAGTTAACTTTTGTGCATGGTGACAGAAAGGGATTCAGTTTCATTTTGTTGCATATGGATTTCCAGTTTTCCCAGCACCATTTGTTGAAGTTGCTATCCTTCCTCCATTGCATGTTTTTAGCCCCTTTATCGAATATAAGATAGTTGTAATTTTGTGGATTGGTTTCTGTGTCCTCTATTCTGTACCATTGGTCCACCCGCCTGTTTTGGTACCAGTACCATGCTGTTTTTGTTACTATTGCTCTGTAGTATAGTTTGAAATCTGGTATCGCTATACCTCCTGATTCACACTTCCTGCTTAGAATTGCTTTTGCTATTCTGGGTCTTTTATTTTTCCATATGAATTTCATGATTGCTTTATCTATTTCTACAAGAAATGCCATTGGGATTTTGATTGGCATTGCATTGAACCTATAGAGAACTTTTGGTAATATCACCATTTTGATGATGTTAGTTCTGCCTATCCATGATCAGGGTATATTTTTCCATCTTCTAAGATCTTCTTCTATTTCTCTCTTTAGGGTTCTGTAGTTTTCATTGTATAAATCTTTCACCTCTTTTGTTAGGTTGATTCCCAAGTATTTTATTTTTTTTAAGGATATTGTGAATGGGGTGGTTTTCCTCATTTCCAGTTCAGAAGATTTGTCGCTGATATACAGGAATGCCTTTGATTTATGCGTGTTGATTTTATATCCTGCTACTTTGCTGAATTCATTTATTACTCTAGTAGTTTCTTTGTAGACCCTTTTGTGTCTTCTAGGTATAGGATCATATCATCCGCAAATAGTGATAATTTAAGTTCTTCTTTTCCTATCTTAATGCCTTTAATTTCTTTTGTCTGTCTAATTGCTCTGGCCAGTATTTTGAGAACTACATTGAATAGAAGTGGTGAGAGAGGGCATCCCTGTCTTGTTCCAGATTTTAGAGGGAATGCCTTGAATGACTTCTCAATAAAAGTGTTCAGCACATGCTCTCTCTCTCTTTCCACAGACCCTTAAGGTCAGAGGAACCATCACAGGACCCAAAGAAAAAGGTTTCTCTGTCTCTTGTGTGGTTATTTCATGCAGCCCAGTTCACCTGGAGTGACCCTGAGTGTTTTAGTCATGAGGAACGAGATACAAAGCGCTCCATCACTGAGCCACAACCCCAACCACTATTAGTTATCTTTTATTTGGTAAATGATGAGCTGGTGTAAATTTGCACAGTTCATGTATAATGATTGTGATACAGTTGTACAGATTTCTATATTTTGGATGATAACATTTTCTTCTCTCCACACACAAAAAATTGTTTCTTATCTTGGCATTTTTTAAAAAGAAATTTTATGCCAATATTTAATCCCATCAACATTTATGGCAGTATATTTTTCCTGTATTCAATATTATCTTTTGCTTTCATCTTTGTCAAGCTGGTCGATTTTATTCCCATCTCTTAGAACACATTTTAATTTTGTTCTCATTTAGTACTAACACACTTGACTTTTGCATATTTTTATTCCAAATTACATTATGATTCATTATTTTCCAAATGGGATGTAGAGATTTTAAAATATTGAATTTAAGAAAAATAAAGCAGCCTCTGATATCTGGGAACTAGCTAACACTTAAAATAACTAAGCCTCAGTGTATGTGAAGCTGGCCTGATGTTCATTGTTAAACCATGTGATTCTCCAGATGAACATAAATCATCCTATAAAATACCAACACAAGGTCAGACAAGGTCACTCTGAGACCACGACAAGACACTCCATAATTTGGTCAAAGCACTCTTCTGACCAATATGAATGTCTGATACTTCTTATTAGAGCTTTATTTTGCTCTCATGGGCCCTCCCTAGACAAGATATTAAGACACCCAATTATAGAATTGCCCCTGTTTTTATTTTTTTAAGTTGGACACAATATCTTTATTTATTTGTTTTTATGTGGTGCTGAGGATCGAACCCAGGGCCTCGAACATGCTAGGTGAGTGCTCTACTGCTGAGCCACACCCCCAGCCTGCCCCTGTTTTATGACAAATAATCCCCAGAATTACCCAAACAAGACCAGATCCTAAATAGGTTCTTTCTAATACCCTCTTACTCAGATGTCACATGGCCTTCCATGCTACACACTTTTGTACCCAGTTGTAAGTAATAAATCCAATTTCTACACCCATATTGTATTCCTGGTCATCTTTGGCTGAAGGGCATGGATATATTACTATTTTGCCTATCAAGTCTCTTATGTGCCTATAAGATTAATTATGGGTTAATGTACATTTTTGTATTTATGGCTGTCCAACTGAGTAGTTAAAATTGCTATCATTTTTAATCAATTAAACTTTATTAGACATGCTATATTTTTTTTTTTTTTTTTTTTTTAAAGAGAGAGTGAGAGAGGAGAGAGAGAGAATTTTTTAATATTTATTTTTTTTTAGTTATCGGCGGATACAACATGTTTGTTTTGTATGTGGTGCTGAGGATCGAACCCGGGCCGCACGCATGCCAGGCGAGCGCGCTACCACTTGAGCCACATCCCCAGCCCAGACATGCTATATTTTAAGGACATATTTTTCCATATGAAGATGAAAAACTTAAGATCATGCTTCAAGAATCCCTCTTCACTCCACAGTTTTAAACATTTCATGCATATTGCAATCTACGTTGTGACTGTGAGGAAAAGGGGGTCCAAGAGTGATGAGAAAAAAAATGTGTTGGAATGTAAGGGTAGGTGGAGCAATAGGTAAAGAATTCTAAGGTGGTAGAATTCTAAGATTTAAATTTCTTATTTTATAGTTCAAGAAATATGGGGTTGTGAGGCACTGGGTTCAATCCTCAACACCACATAAAAATAAATAAATAAAATAAGGGCATTGTGTCCATCTACAAATAAAAAATTATATAAATATATACATATATATAATATAAAGAAATATGTCTTACAGGGCATTTGATAAATATCGTATTCAATGAATAGTTTATCTTGGGATAAAGACTTATTTGACTGCTTACATTGATCAGGAAAAAACAAATAATGCAGAGTAACAGACTAGGATTAATACCAGCAATGGATTGTTACGTTCCACGACTAAACATTCAGGGTCACTCCAGGTGAACTGGGCTGCATTAAAATAATCACACAGAGACAGAGTAATACCTTTTTCTTTGTGTCCTGTGACAGCTTCTCCCACCTTAGGGGTCCCTGGAAAGAGAGAGAGGAGCACGTGCTGAACCCTTTGATTGAGAAGAAGCCATTCAAACGAGGCAAGGGGTAGGGTTATAAAGGAATAGGTGAGTGTAGCTCAACCCCAGTGGGTATGCCTATTCCTGAAGCCATGACTTATGATCCAAGCAGGAAAAAGATAGACCACTCCAGACTACAGTGATCTTTCAGATCCCAGTGGTGCAGCAGGACTTAAAAGGTGCGTGCATTTGGAATGGCTTTCCACAATGGATTTTTTTTTTTTTTGTGCTGGTGATTTAATCCAGGCCTCACATATACTAGTCAAATACTCTACTACTGCCCAGCCCAAAGATAAATATTTTTTAACACTTAGAACCTTGAGGTGATAAATCATGTTTTTATTAATATCTGTATGCTTTAGTTATTAAAATACATATCAATTAAATTTTATTAGACATGCTATATTTTAAGGATATATTTTAAGACTCACATAGACATATCCAAGATTTCCATATGAATAAAATTTTAATATACTTCAATTTTGGAGTCTCACGGTATTAGGGGAGACTGAAAACTAAAAGCACTCTATATATGCGCTGTCAAATATGATAGCTACTAGTTATGTGTCATTTTGGGGGGGGGTACTGGGGGTTGAATGCAGGGGCACTCAACCACTGAGCCACATTCCTAGCCCTATTTTGTATTTTATTTAGATACAGGGTCTCACTGAATTGCTTAGTACCTCGCTATTACTGAGGCTGGCTTTGAACTCAAAATCCTCCTATCTCAGCCTCCTGAGCCACTGAAATTACAGGCGTGTGCCACCTCACCTGGCTAGCCATGTCATTTTAAAAATTAATTAAATAAAACTTAAAATTCAAGGGGCTGGGTATGTAGTTCAGTAGTACAGTACATGCTTGGCATGTACAAGGCCTTGGCTTCTATCCTCAGTATCACTAAAAAATTCAACTGCTCAATAACATTAATCACATTTCAAGTGCTCAATAGCCACATGTCTAGTGGCTATCATAATAGACAGTACAGATATAAAACAATTCCTTCATCACACATAATGTTACTGGACAGCATTGCTCTTGCTGCTTTGTGGGTCTCTGGTCAAGTGCACTATAAGAAAGGAATCAGTATTTTTTCTCCTGTATCAATTTCCCATTGAGATATGAATATATATTAAAGCGCTATGTAACAAAACCCAAAGAGTCATGAGTGAACCTGTCTGATGCCTTCAAATACAAAATGTTTCCAATACCAAACAGGAAACACCTATCTATCCACCCAGTTCTCTGACTGAGGAAACTGGCATCAAATTTTCGGGGGGGTAAGTTCTCTTCTAGAAAGATCCAGAAACAGAGTTCCACCCTAAGTTTTGGAAAGCAGTCCAGCTCAGAGAGAAGGGTTCTGGAAATTGAAGAGGAAGCAAAGAGGCAAGGGGCAATTAGAAGATTCTCTCTGGTTTACTCAGAAGAGTCATTCTCTGTTAAGGAACCCCTACCCCTGAAATCACTGAGATCCTTTCACAGGATCCACACTGAGGACAAACTAAACTCATAGCATTACCAAGACAATAGTTACCTTTTCCCCAGTTTGACATTTGTAAGGTAATTCTACCTGCACTTTCGCAAGAAACAAAATTGTGGCACCAAACTGCAATCAGTTAATTTGTTCTTCACCACTATTTCTTATAGGAAGAAAAAGGAGAAAGAGAAGATGGGGAGGAAGAGGAGGAAGAGGAAGCAGAAGAGGAGGAAGAGGAAGAGGAAGATTCAAATATCTTGTTGAAACTATAAAAATTAACTTTATTACATAATCATTCTTGATTTCCAAATATGTAAACTACTGGATGTAATAAAGTGGGATCTATGCATTAAATACTTATGCTATAAACCAAAATGCTATGCTTGTCTCAGGAAAATAATTTGCATAAACTGAAGTAGTCTCTTTCTTATGAAATGTCATTTTTACTTAAAAGAATGAGTGGTACACACAGACTGTGTAGTTCAGTGGTAGAATGTTTGCCTAGCATTTCAAATGAGGCCCTGGCCCAGCATCAGAAAAACAAACAAAAGACAACAATAAATGATAGAGAAACTCTCTTGGATACTGGATAGATTAGGGGTATTTAGAGGACACTTGGGGTATTTGAATGAAAGTCTATCATTTCAAGGAAAGCAACTGACAGTATATTTCTTTCCTAAGATAAAATTTAAGCATTCTGAAAAAAATTGAATTTTTGAAATCTGTCACTTTAAGCTTGACAGCTTCCACAAAATCAGGAATTTTTCTCACGGTATCTGTGGTGTTATTAACAAATGTAACTTTTTTTTTTTTTAACCCAGTGGTGCTTTATGGCAGAGCTATATCCTCCATTCTTTTTATTTTATATTTTGAGGCAGGATCTCACAAAGTTTTCCAGGCTGTCCTCAAACTTGCAGCCTCCCCAGTAGCTGGAATTGCAGGCATGCATCACTGTGCCCAGTCAAATTTAACCTTTTGTTAATTTGTTGAGATGGGTTAATACTTGAAAGATTTGCATACTCAGTGAACCAACCCTTACTTTTAAAAGTCATCCATTAGTACAAGATCCATTCAATGGGCATTACAGATCAACTGATTTTAATGTAAAAAAACAGAAATATTTGATAATAAGGTTCCAGGTTGTAACTAACCTTTACGAAATTATCACTTATATGGTCTTAGTGTAGTATCAAAGATGGATATACGTAATTATTACATTGAATAAACTATTAAAACTAATCCTCTCTTTTTAAACTCAATATTTGTGTCAAGTGGATTTCTTTCTTTCCTTAGGTTTTTTTGTTTTGTTTTGTTTTGTTGTTGTTGTTGGTTTTTTGTTTTTTATTTTTTATTTTTTTTTAGTAAACATCAGTCAAAGTAAGAGAATAAGGTGAGGATGTAGCTTAGTGGTACAGGGTTTGCCTAGGATGGGCAAAATCATGGGTTCTATCTCCATCACTGCAACATTATAATTATAGTTTAAAACATAAAAATCTTCAGCACTAAAAAAATAAAACTCTAAGAGAAAGAATGTAGAAACAAATATAAATGCATCAGTCTTCAAATGACCCAGATAAGAATGACACTTGCAAAAATGTAAAATGATCACACTTCTGTTTTGAAAACTAATTATTTTTCATAAAAATATTATTTCTGCTAACATACAATGGTTATTTATGTTATTCAAATGAATTAATTTTTTTCAAAATTCTGTTTTAATAATTTCTAACATGATAAATATTGATATAATCCACAGGGGGGAAAAATCCCTTTGGATGTGTTCTAACTAGTTCTCTGAATATATTTATAGAGATCCTGAAACCTAAAAGTTTAAGAACTGAAAAAGCACACATTCACTGAGCCAGGGCTCAGAGAGGCAATGTAACAGAGTGCTCCACTCAGGATAGGAGTCAGGGCCGCGTCCCAGGTCCTCTGACATGGCTCTAGTCCTGCCCTTAAGTGTCTAGAAGGAGCAAATCCATTGTTGACAACCGCCTGAGCAGTTTCGTTTCTCAGCCCTGGTCTAGTCCTTCTTCCTGGAAACCCATGACGCGGCCCCATTTCTTACTCCCATTGAGTGTAGTGATTCTAGACAAGCCAATCATCGTCTCCACGAAGTTTTCACAGTTGCGATTTCGGATTATAGGATTATCGCTGAGCTGGGAAATGGAGCCCGGGGCGAGCCTAATCTTTCTCCTGCTGCTCTGTGAGAGCCTGGTCCTGACCGAGATCTGGGCGGGTGAGTGCGGAGTCCGGAAAGAAACAGCCTCTGCGGGGAAGGAGGGAAGGGATGGCCCCACGCGGGTACAGGACCCCGAGAAATTGATTCTACGCAGCCCCAGACCTCTTCCCTGGTCCCCTCCGCCGCCCGTGCCCTGCCCTCTCTCCTCGCCCCCTCTCTTCCCCTGCTCCAGGAGGAGGGTAGCGCCGTGTCTGAGCAACTCCCGGGTCCCCAGGTTCCTTCTCCCTGAGATATTTTCACACTGCGGTATCCCGGCCCAGCGGCGGACAGCCCTGGTACGTAGCAGTCGGCTACGTGGACGACACGCAGTTCGTGCGCTTTGACAGCGACGCAGCTGATCCCAGGATGGAGCCACGGGCGCCGTGGATAGAGCAAGAGGGACTCGAGTATTGGGAGGAGCAGACTCAGCGCGCCAAGGACACAGCAAGGAGTTTTCGAGTAAACATGCGAACCTTGCGCGGCTACTACAACCAGAGTGATTCTGGTGAGCGACTGGGGCCCGAATAGCAGCAGGTCATGATCCTCATCCCTCGCGGATGTGCCGAGGTCGTCCAGAGTCGCTGGGAAGGAGATTCACCCCTCCTCCCCTTGACCTGGCCCGATCTCAATCTAGAGAAAGCCCACGGGGATTCGCTTCAGTTTCGTTTTGGGTTTGGTCCTACGGCCCCAGAGATCAGTGGGCGGTACTAACTTGGGGCAGGGCCACGTGGGTGTGGCTAACGTAGGGACCCGACCAGGTTCCCACACACTCCAGTGGACCTACGGCTGTGACGTGGGCCCAGATGGCCGCTTCCTGCGAGGCCATGATCAGTTCGCCTACGACGGCACCGATTACATCTCCCTGAACGAGGACCTGCGCTCCTGGACCGCGGCGAACACCGCGGCTCAGATCTCCAAGCACAAATCTGAGGCAGCCCAAGAGGCTAAGTACCAAAGAGCCTACCTGGAAGGGGAGTGCGTGGAGTGGCTGCTCAGACACCTGGAGAATGGGAAGGAGACCCTGCAGCGCGTAGGTAAGAGGGGCTACAGGAAACTCTCGCAGTTTCCCTCACGCTGGGGTTGTGCCAGCAGCTGAAGACCCTCAAGAAGTAGAGGAAGGGACCCGAGGTGTTGCGCAGTGGTAGAGCGTTGCCTAGAAGGCCGGAGGCTCAGGATTCAATCCCCAGCCCTCCAAAGGGGAAAAAAGTAGAGAAAAATAGGTTCGAAGTCAGAATTGGGTTTCCAGATCCTGTACCACGGAGTAACACGCTAGGATGGCTACTTTTCCCTCAGGGACAGTTAGGAATCCAGTCTCTCCGGGATTAGAGAAAGACCTTTCTTGAAATAATTGATTAGCGGTTCTCTTTGACTTGGTTCCTTGACTCTGTCAGAAGCTTTGGGAACACCTGGGGATACTTGTTCTCTGGCCTTATTCCCTCCCTGCCCCGAAGCCAGTATCTTTGGAGGTCTGACTCCAGCTTTTCTGATTCATTCAGCCCCTACCCAAGTCAGCACCAGAATCCCTTCCCTCTTGACCCACCCTCAAAGACCTAGAGTCTTCTACTCTGAACTATCTCACCCTAATTTTAGAACTTCTCAAGGAAAAGGAAATTAACCCAGATGCCTATGTCCTGGTAATAGGTTTTGTGCACCCTTTCCTCCCTCCAGTTGTGCGTTCTATTGTCAGAATGTTCACACTACTCTATTCCCATGATAAATGCAAAGTGCCTACGTTTTCTGAATCTTCCTGTCAGACCCCTCAAAGACACACATGACCCAACATCCCATCTCAGACCACAAGAGCACCTTGAGGGGTCTTGGGCTTCTACTCTGCTGAGATCACCCTGACACTGTAGCACTTAGGTATGAGGGGCTGCAAGATGTCTTGTAGATCTTCTCCCTTGCTTCCCCCAAGAAGGGGAGGAGAATGGCACCATGCTAGGACACCACCCTTGTCCAGAGGGAAGTGATGGACCTGGATTCCCAGATGCTGCCCCAGAGAGGAACTGAAAGCTACTTTCTCCTAGGACAAGTAAGCGATGCAGTCTCTTTCTCCCTGGCTGATGGGAAAGATAATAACTGACCACAGTTCCCTGGCAGCAGTCTTGACATCAAGGACACACTGTCAGGCCATTTCTGCCTAGTGTCTTTGGAGGTGTGACTCAAGCTTTTCCACATCTCTCAGCCTCCACCCTGATCAGAACGTGAAGTCCCTCTCAGAGCTGAAACCTCTTACACTGCATTACCTCAACCTGATTTTAGAACTTTCCAAGGAATAGGAGATTATGCCAGATCACAGAGTCCAGACTTTGTCTAGGTTTTGTGCTCCCTCCCCACCCCAATCATGTTGTCCATTCTCCAGATGGTTATGGGAGTGGCTGCTTCAGTGGCCCAGGAGAGGTAATAACAAAATGTCTGAGTTTCCCTATTTTTTTCTCAGACCCCCCGAAGACACATGTGACTCACCACCCTAGCCCTGAAGGGGATGTCACTCTGAGATGCTGGGCCCTGGGCTTCTACCCTAAGGAGATCACCCTGACTTGGCGACGAGATGGGGAGGACCAGACCCAGGACATGGAACTTGTGGAGACCAGACCTGCAGGGGATGGAAACTTCCAGAAATGGGCAGCTGTGGTGGTGCCTGCTGGAGAGGAGCAGAGATACACATGCCATGTACATCATGAGGGGCTGCCTGAGCCCCTCACCCTGAGATGGGGTAAGATGAAGGCCCGGAGCCTGTTGTCAGGAAGCAAGCAGGAGGCTTTCTGAAGACCCTCAGCAGGGTATGGACTGAGAGCCTGGGGATCAGGGCCCCTCAACTGACTTCTCTTTCCCTCACAGAGCCACCCCCTCAGGCCACCATCCCCATCTTGGGAATTGTTGCTGCTGTGATTGTCCTTGTTGTCACTGGAGCTGTGGTCGGTTTTGTCTTGTGGAGAAAGAAAAACACAGGTAGGGAAAGTGCACGGTCGAATTTTTGTCCCACTGGTGGTCTCAAGTACCTGGTAGAAGTGTGCCCTGCCTTGGTAATGGGAAGTAATATCTACCCACATGTGCTTATTCAGCCTAGATTGACGGGGTGACCAGCGCCCCAGCAGAGCAGTTTCCTGCTCAGGAGGTGTGAGCTGCATGGGAAAATGAAAAGTCTGAAATAATCAGTAAGAAATAAAGACAAAGACAAAGATTAGATTTAAAAAACGGGATTCCTTGGCATTGGGCTTGTGGCTCAGCAGTAGAGTACATGCCTAGCACGTGTGAGACCCTGGGTTCGATCCTCAACAGCACATAAAAATAAATAAATAAAATAAAGGAAAGTATCCATCTACAATGAAAAATTAAATATTTTTATTAAAAAAAAAAAAGTGGAGTTCCTGATGGGTCTTCCAGCCCTGATAGGAACTGAACTGAACAAAGGAAAAAGGCCCCAATTCTTTTTTTTTTAATTAATTAATTAATTTGTTCTAATTTGTTATACATGACAGCAGAATGTGTTCATAGTACACAAATGGAGCACAATTTTTCATTTCTCTGGTTGTACACAATGTAGAGTCACACCATTCATGTCTTTATGCATGTACCTAGAGAAAGGATGTCCACCTCATTCCATCATCTTTCCTACCCCCATGCCCCTCGCTTCCCCTCCCTCCCCTTTGCCCTATCCAATATTCCTCTATTCCTGCCATGCTCCCACCTCCCACCCCCATTATGGATCAGCATTCACTTTTCAGAGAAAACATTTGGCCTTTGGTTTTTTGGGATTGGCTTACTTCACTTAGCATTATATTCTCCAGCTCCATCCATTTACCTGCAAATGCCATAATTTTATTCTCTTTTAATGCTGAGTGATATTCCATTGTGTATATATACCACAGTTTCTTTATCCATTCATCTATTGAAGGGCATCTAGGTAGGCTAGTGAATCGTGCTGTTATAAACATTGATGTGGCTGCATCACTGTAGTATGCTATTTTTAAGTCCTTTGGGTATAGAACAAGGAGTGCGATAGCTGGGTCAAATGGTGGTTCCATTCCAAGTTTTCTAAGGAATCTCCATAGTGCTTTCCAGATTGGCTGCACCAATTTGCAGTCCCACCAGTGATGTATGAGTGTGCCTTTTCTTCACATCCTCTACAACACTTACTGTTGCTTGTATTCTTAATAGCTATCATTCTGACTAGAGTGAGACAAAAAGTTAGAGTAGTTTTGATTTGCATTTCTCTAATTACTAGCAATGTTGAACATTTTTTTATATATTTGTTGATGCCCTAATTATTTAAGGGAGAGTACATCAAAGGCAGGGATGAGGTTTCAGTGTGGGAGGAGTCTTGTTTCTGGGTTTGGCAGTAAACAGGTTCTTTGGTGTTTGGCAGATTACGCCCATCTCCAGGAGGCTGTTTGATCCTAAGGCTGGGAGCTAAGACATGGCACCAGCATGATCTGGGCTTTCTTGAATGGGTGAATTTCACCCAGGAGTTCCCAGAGAAGCAGCTTCCCTGCCTTAATGGCTCCAAGAAACCCATAATTTATATATGGCCTCCAATACTGGACTTGTTTACTCTTTTGTAAAGCACATGGGAAAAAAATGGAGAAAAATTTCCCCTGATTTTTGCAGTGATGGGGAACTGACTCTTACACCTCTGGCATTCAGAGGCCAGAGGGGAATTTCCCTGCTGAGGACAGACCTCCAGCAGAGCAGTTGGCTCCATCACTATACATCTATTTTCTTCTAGTCTCCTGGTCCTTCCCTACATCTGTAGTCACAGTTCTAGAAATGTCCCCCGTGTCCAGGACTAGGGGGTACCTCTAAGACCTGTTTTTAAGCTGCTCTCTCACAGGATGTTTTCTTCCCACAGGTATAAAAAAAGGGCCCTATGCTCCAGCTCTCTGTAAGTATGAAGAACAGTGAGCCCTGAGACCCTTGGGATAGTGATGTAGTTGGGAGCTGATCAATCCCATAATTTCTCCATTTTCCGCATCTCGTGTGGGCTCTAACCAGGTTCTGTTTTTGTTCTGTTCAGGGAATGACAGTGCCCAGAGCTCTGATGTGTCTCTCACGACTTAAAAAGGTAAGACCCTGGGGGGCCAGAAGAGAGAGAGAGGGATTGGGAAATGGAGAGACTCCTGGGTTACAGGACTCTCCTAGGAATTTCTGACATTTTGAATGTTTAATAGGTTGTTCAGAGTGTCTGCATTACAATGAGTGATCTGAATTTGTTCATAATACCTTCATTTATAGTGTGAGACAGCTAGCTGTCTTCTGTGGGACTGAGCAACACAGGATTTCTTCAGTTCTCTTCCTGCTCCCTACTACAGTTTCAAGAGGTCCCAACTTCTCTTTCTGACTATGTGTCTGTGTTCCTATCATCCTAATGTAAGGAAACCAAGAGGAGGGCATCCCTGATCACTAAGACCCCTCCCCATACTGCCCTGTTCTCTTCTTCAGTCAACTTTCCTGTGTAGCAGATGTGAGGCTAGAATGTCTTCATTTGTGAGAAACTTGAGTTAACTCCCCTGCTGGGCCATGTGGCCTCAGGCACCCATGCTGCTAGTCTGCCCCACTCTTCTAGGGTTTGAGTGACTGTCTTTGTGCCTGGGCTTGTCTTCCTAAAGCCCCATGGGTGGAGCTATGCTCATCTGTTCCTTTGTAATATAACCCCTTGCTCTGTTTAGGATAGAGTCTTCCATGGAAGTGCCTTGGGTGTGTACCCTTCTCTTACTGTGCACTTGGATGTGGCCTACCTAGATGTCAGTCAACCTGCTAACAGTGGACATTATGAAGATAGACTCAGCCCCCTGAAACCAGGCCCCTTATCTCATTTGAATAGCTTCTCCTCAATAAAAGGGGCTACCGGGTACTCTTGCTCTCTCTCTTCCTTTGGACCCTTAAGGTCGGAGGAGCTGTCACAGTGACCCCAATGAAAAAGTTATTTTTTTTAAGAGATGAAAAATAACTTGTTTAATGCTACATAGGTAGAAAGTGGCAGTACAGTCTTTAAAACCATTTCTGGCCACAATGACAGACACTGTCTTCTGTTCTTATTGTCAACCCATATTTAAATATTGCAGTACATACAAAATGTCAAAAATTTCCCCTCTAGCATTTACTACCTTTTCTGAATTTTGGATTTACTGTCATCACCAACAAAAAAAAATATATACAAGTAAGGACAAGTTACTAAATTACAAAGCCAATATTCTGGATGCAGTACATATGTTAATTAACTTAGTCATTGATACTTAACTACAAAACAAATTGCTTTATTTTTTTAACAATGAAAAGTGACAGCAACACTATAAATTACTTGTGACAAAGTCATCAATGGAGAATAATAAAAACAAAGCTAATTAACAGGCATTTTTTCAGTTCAAATTAGTAATTTCCTTTAAACAGGAATACTAACATTGATCTAGTGGTTCTCAACCCTGTCTGCACATTAAAGAAATGGAGGTCACTTTTCTTTATCCATTTTTGATTAACCATAATAGAGTTCAACAAATATCAAATATTGGAAGTTATTTAAACTCGAATTGAAATTCTCACTACTTTTTATTTTTACAAAACTTAAAAAATAATACTAGCTTTCAAAGAATCCCCACATTTTAATTTTGCATAGATGTTCAAGTCAGTTATTTGTTCAACTAAAAAGAGTCAGTAAGATGTATTAGAAATTATTTTATTAATAAGTTATTATAAAATGATATTCATGAGCCACAAACTTTTGGGTGCAGATGAGAGAAAGATTTGAGTATTTTCCATGCATTTCTAAAACTTCTAGAATCCTTTTTTGTAAGATCAGTTTCTTAAAAGTCAGAACCTAAACAAAACTTGCTTCTTTAAAAATATATGCATAAATATTTTGCCTACCACTCTGCTATATTGTTGACAAATCCCTATTAGTAGGTCAGTAGTAACTACAGGCACTTATCTTCAAAACAACCTTTCCTCATTTTTCAGGTTTGGAAATCAAGTATGGAAAACAACTTTTTCCTAAAAAATACATGAATTCACTTAAAGATGTCTCCTCAAATTCAGGAAATCCCATTTCTTCGGCTCTTTATGTCAGGACTCCATATAAATCTCAACCACTTCATTCTTGCCGTCAAGTGTTGCTTCTGTCTGGTTGTTTTCACTCACATCTTCGATGTCTGACAGATCAACAGGTGGTAAAGGATCTCTCCGGTACTGGAAAGTATTATACAGCCAAAATTCTTCATTGTGCTGGAGCGGTGCGGCCCCCCAGTCTTGCTGCGGAGGCCCTGTGCGTCCCTCCCCGTGGTCAACACCAGCCACAGGGGGCTGGGCGTCCTGGGGCTCCTCCCCTGGCCCCCGGGGCCCTCCGGGCAGCATGTCGCGGCGCTTGCTGGACGAAGCCGAAGGCTCTGACTTGGCCCCTGAGTCGATTTTGCGCTTTCGCGGTAGCCCAGGATGCGAGGGCCCCAACGGCGGGATCCAGATCTACGGCGTTGGCTCCTCCGTGAAGTCGCAGAGCTGGAGCCGCTTCCAAGGCACGTGGAACGTCAGCGGCTCAGCCGCAAGCCGCTTGGCCATGGGCCTAAGGGTTCCAGCGGAGACAGACTGCCAGCGCTGATAGCCGCAGGGTGGAGCGAGGGAGGGCAAGGCCCAGAAAAAGGTATTTGTGCCTCTTGTGTGGTTATTTTGCGCAGCCCAATTAGCCCAGTTCAATTGGAGCGATCCCTGAGCCTTTTAGTCATGAACAGAAACTTGGCATTCACTCCTGATTTAGTTTGTTTCGCTGGGATGTAGCTGCTTCTTTCCCTAGGGAAAAACAGAATCTGGACATTTGTCCCATGGAATATGGTTGATGTGTTAATTAAATTGTGGGAGGGCTGGAGATGTGGCCCCCGGGGCTCTCCGGGCAGCAGCGACAGCCGTGGCTCGCTTTTCTCCAGGCCGCGGCCCTGACGCTCCCCGCCGCTCTGGGAGCTGCTCTCTCCGCTGTCGCTGTCGGAGTTGGGGTTCCTGTGAGGGCTCCTCTGACCTTAAGGGTCCGCAGAAAGAGAGAGAGCCCGGGAGTGCGTGCTGACCCCTTTTAATTGAGGAGAAGCCATTCAAATGTGGCAAGGGGTCAGGTTTCAGGGGGCTGAGTCCAGCTTCATGATGTCTGCTGTCAGCAGGTTGACTAACATCTAGGAAGGCCACACCCAAGGGCAGAGTAAGAGAAGGGGACACACAAAGGACGTTTCCAAGGAACATTCCATTCCAAACAGGGCAAGGGGTTAATATCACAAAGGAACAAATGAGCGTAGTTCCACCCATGGGGCTGCAGGAAGAGTAGCCAGATCACCAGGGATGACCAATGTGCCTCAACCAATCAGGAGGGGAAAACGCTGGTCACTATTTTTTAGTTTTCGGGGGACACAACATCTTTGTTTATATGTGGTGTTGAGGATCAAACCCGGGCCACGCATACCAGGGACAAGCATTACCAGGGCTGGTCCTGTCTTCAGGACCATGGGCAGGGAGGTCATCATGCCACTGAGTTAACCTAGGTTGAGACCTGAGTCCAACCTTCAGCTCCAATTTTTTTTTTTTCAATTTCTATAGAGAATTATCCCTGTTATTGTTAGTAGGTATGAATTATGGTCTCATCTCCTCTGGCTATCTCTCATCTTCGAGAGGAGCAGGAGTCCTTTTTCCTATCATTGTCCCACAAAACTCAGGGCAGTTTCCTGGATTGTATTTTTCATCACTTCTCCAGTATTTTTAAAGGAACCAGATTAGGGGAATAGCAGAGAGGAAAGATCTCACAATTTCTCATCTTAGATATTTCACAATGGCTGACTGCAAGCTGGAGAGCTGGAAGAACCACTAGCTGTGCAGTCCAAAAGGCTGAAGCTCCAGAATAAGAGGGTCAATGGTGCTACCCTAATCTGAGACCAAAAAGATTCTGGAGAATCTGTTTTGGAAAAGTGAAGAAGTGGGAGTCCAGTATCTTCAGATAATCACAGCAACAGTCAAGAACCCATTCAACAGTGCGGGCGCAGCGGCCCGGCTCTGGGAGCGCCCCGGCGGGCGGCCAGGCGCAGAGGGGCCGAGACGGTCCGCGGTGGGCGAGGGAGCTGCTGGTCCTTCATGATGAGAGATTTTGGGGTGCTTCTCTCTCTTCTGTGTAGTTGACAGTCTGGGTGGTGAGGAGATGGCTGACAGTGTCAAAACCTTTCTCCAGGACCTTGGCAGGGGAATCAAAGACTCCATCTGGGGTAAAGCTAGATGCTCGAATCCAGCAGAAAAGAGAGGAGCAACGTCGAAGAAGGGCAAGTAGTGTCCTGGCACAGAGGAGAGCCCAGAGTATAAAGCGGAAGCAAGAGAGTGAGCCACGTATTGTTAGTAGAATTTTCCAGTGCTGTGCTTGGAATGGTGGAGTATTCTGGTTCAGTCTCCTCTTGTTTTACCGTGTGTTTATTCCTGTGCTTCAGTCAGTAACAGCCCGAATTATTGGGGATCCATCACTACATGGAGATGTTTGGTCGTGGCTGGAATTCTTCCTCACATCAATTTTCAGTGCTCTTTGGGTGCTTCCCCTGTTTGTGCTTAGCAAAGTTGTGAATGCCATTTGGTTTCAAGATATTGCTGACCTAGCATTTGAGGTATGGGGAGGAAGCCTCATCCATTCCCTAGTGTCAGCAAGATAATTGCTGACATGCTCTTCAACCTTTTGCTACAGGCTCTTTTCCTTATCGAGGGAATGTTTGTGAGTCTCTTTCCCATTCATCTTGTTGGTCAGCTGGTCAGTTTGCTGCATATGTCCCTTCTCTACTCACTGTACTGCTTTGAATATCGTTGGTTCAATAAAGGAATTGAAATGCACCAGCGATTGTCAAACATAGAAAGGAATTGGCCTTACTACTTTGGATTTGGTTTGCCCTTGGCTTTCCTCACAGCAATGCAGTCCTCATACATTATCAGTGGCTGCCTCTTCTCTATTCTCTTTCCTTTATTCATTATCAGTGCTAATGAAGCAAAGACCCCTGGAAAAGCATACCTTTTCCAGTTGCGCCTGTTCTCCTTAGTGGTGTTTTTAAGCAACAGACTCTTCCACAAGACAGTCTATCTGCAGTCTGCCCTGAGTAGCTCAACGTCTGCAGAGAAGTTCCCTTCACCGCATCCATCTCCTGCCAAACTGAAGGCTGCTGTGGGCCATTGAGTTGCCTGTCATCTAAAGGGGATGGGTGGATTGGAAAGAAGTTGTGGCAACTCTTTTCTCTATCCTCTCCTGGCTAGGGAAGGCAGGACCCACTCTGCCAAGGGCCCTCTGTGTATTCCCTTCTCTTTGAGGAATTTTTGTCTCTGGTACATGGGAGGCAGGATCTTTCTGACACCAGTATGTGGATTTTTAATACCACCGTGAGTCTGAAAGGACCACAGGTTTTTCTGCAGCTGTTTTCTAGCATTTGCCAGCCCCTGTGCCTGGACTGATTTAAATACTTTGTTTTTCTCCCTGTGCCATTTACCCTCCCACCTCTCCTTCCTGCCTTCTAGCAACCTTGGATGAATGGGTTTTGTAATTCTAGTTGTTGTATTTTGTGGGTTTGTTATTTTTGTTGATTTTCTGTGAAGCACATACATTGGATGTGGGAGGTAAAGGAGTATCTCAGTTGCTCCTTGTTTACTCCCTTTATAGCCATCACTGTCTTGTTTCTTGTATCTCAGGTTAGGTTTTGGTCTCTCTTGCTCTACTGCAAAAAAGTAAAAGAAAAAGAAGCAAAGCAAAAAAAAAAAAAAAAAAGAGCCTGAAGAGATGGGACAGAATGAAAGACCTCACAGCCAGACTGGCTGGGTTTTGAGGAGTAATCTTTTTTTTTTTTTCCTTCCCCTTGAAGGGGAAAAAACTTTTTTCACTGGTACATTTAAAGCTCCCCAGCTATGGGGAGGTACCAGTTCTGGACAAGTGCCACTGTAACACAGAAATGCTCAGAGAAACTGAACTGAACTTTTCAACTCTGGAAGGTGGAAATTTACTGTTGGTCACTGCCGGGTCTTACTGGTATTTCAAAGGAATATTGGGTGCTGCAAATAGGAACTAAAGGGGTAAACTTATTAAACCCATTAAATCTGTGATCAGTGATGTTTTTCTGTCATTTTAAGACATTTATGGGCTGGGAGGGTAGTGGTCAAAATACTTGTACAATTTTAAAATGTCACAATTAAATGTGAGCTGGTTTCCCACAGTGTGTCTAATGGCTAAATTTACAAATCATGACATTGAGAGATGTATTCATCAAACACAAGACTTAGTCTTGGATAATCTGGTTATAGTTTTTAGAGATTAGCTCTGAAAAATGTCCCCTGAGGAAATTTGGGTTATATATTATAATTGTGTGTATATCTTTGGGTTGATTGTTTTAAAGTCTATGTGTATCTTGTGTATTCATGAAGGGAGGAAGGTTCATCTAGATTTCAGTATACTGAATATGTCATTCATTTGTCAAGGGAAGAGATCAGACATTTGGTTAACAGAAACCTTCACTATGTATACAGCAAAATAAGGAATTAAAAATTGTTGCTGGGAATTGTAATCTAAGTTTGAACTGCTTATGCAATTGATGGAAGGAGGGTTTTTAAATAGTGGGTATCTTAGAAGTGATTATTATTTCCAGGTTATAAACAAAAAGTTGTGGAAGACATAATTTAAAATATACTTCTAGCATTCCTGGGGGGGGGGGGAAGAACCCATTCAAGAAGAATCAAGCTTGCAACTGCTGCTGCTTCCTTGTCCTTCCAATTTTTATTCCATCCAAGTCATCATCCTATTGGTCAATACTGCCCACATTTAGGGAGTGTCTCCATTTCAGTTGGCTATCTCACATGCCAATCATTCCTAGATACACCCTCATTGACCACATCAAAGCCCAGGATGGACTGAGCACAGACTGGGTGCCACCTTGTCCATCCTCAGCTGCTTTCATCCTTCTCCTGTCCCCACTGTAGCAGACTCAGCACAGCAAATACCTGTGTGCAAATACCTTGGCATTTCTTAATCCAACCAGGTTGATAATTCAAATTGACCATAACAGGTGCTGTGGAATGCAGGAGGGATGGTGTGAAGGGAAGGAGGGCAGCGCTTGTGAG